AGTTCATGGTTTCTGTTTTGTGTTGGTGACATTTTTCTCTCATGAGCACTTCTTAGAATACCGACATAATTTTTGGTCCTTAAAAGGATAATGCTGAATGAGCTTCCAGCTCATTTGTATCTCTTCACACACAGCCCCTTGCCCTTGCCTCCTAGCTTCTGTATAAACCTATGTGCTGGTTCCCTGATTTTTTATGTTGTTTCCTTCACTGGAACTGCTTCACCACATCATTATTTCAAGTGCTTTTCTCTGCTATCTGCTCGGTACAGAACATTCACCTTCAGCTAGCAAGCACCCTGCCCTCTCTTCAGGGCCCTCTCTTGAATACCTACATTTGCTGGTTTTCTAATATGAAAGTATGACAACGTAGAATAAACAGAGATACGGTATATTTTATTTGACTCTATGTATAGAAAAGGAGAACATCACACCAGTTTTATATCTCCACAATTCAGAAATTCATGGGAACTGCTTACTTGGACAGAAGTTTTGTAACAAGAGTGGAGAATCAGCCCCTTTTTGGACAATGCAGGTGAATTAATCTCGCCTCACTTTAGATGGCTGCAGCGCAGATATGTACATAACAAGCTAATCACCCAAGGCTTCTTGTGGAGTGATTTACAAGATATGAGTGCTTTAAGGGTACAATTGTCCCAATCTGTTTGGAGGTCTGCTTTAAGATGAGATAAAGTGCACCCAGAAGTGACTGGTGCTGTCCATTGACTGTAAAGGAAGTTTAAACAACTAAAGTAATTGTAGAAACATGCTGTAACAGATACCTGCATTGAGTCAGATGTATCTCCTCTTGTGTGGCTGTATAACAGTACTGTGTTGTATGCAGTAGTCATATTTTTGTGGGTTTGTACATAAGATTTTTTTTTTCTTGTTAAACAAAATTCCATGTGTTACTTTCTTTTGTATAAGAAATTATTACAGGATGCAAGTTGCAAGTGAGACAATTAATTTAAGAATTCAGGTATAATACAATTGGATCATTCAATAAGTCGTAGAATTAAATTAATTTACTATAATCGTGACCTATAGTGATGCCACAGGATCAGAAAATATAAGAGTGGGTCTTTAAAAATTAGTTTCGTTTAATATGAGATTGAGGTGGCAATCATGTCATTTTATGTTGGCATGGAGAGAATTAAACTGAATGCCTTAACTGTGAGTGCATTTTGTAGATTCAAAGACAAGATCAGCTCATATATAAAGGAATTTTACTCCTAATTTTAATTATGGATGATCTTTACCATGGTCTGAGTGTGCAAACAAGTTTCTTCAGGGAAAGAAAGAGCATAAACTTACAGCACTTCAGCCAGTGTTGGCTAATTGCCCACGAGCATGGCTTTTCCCAAGAGCACTTTGCAGAAAAGGACTGTGTATGCAGTTAATGTCTATGCAGTAGCCAACATGTTCATAGGATCATAGAATCACAGAATAGTTTAGGTTGGAAGGGACCTTAAAGATCATCTAGTTCCAACCCCCCTGCCACAGGCAAGGACACCTCCCACTTAGACCAGGTTGCTCAAAGCCCCATCCAGCCTGGCCTTGAACACCTCCAGGGATGAGGCATCCACAGCTTCTCTGGGCAACCTGTTCCAGTGTCTCACCAGGAGCAAGCTGGGTGATCTTCAGCAAATGTTTTCCCTATGATGTGTCTCAATTTCCCTTTATGTTACAGGATATTGATATTAGTGTCTTTCAAAGCACTTATGATATCTGCTTATGAACAGTGCTTCACTGGAGCCGGGTAGTGCCATTAATCACTGACTGAATATGTAGTGTATTTGTCTGAGTAGACTTTTATTAAGTTGGGGTACAATGGCTTAAGGTGAGTCAGATTTTACACAGGCAAGAACATAGGTACATCTTGAGAATAGAAGAGAATTGCTTTCCACTAGACCTGTTAAACCAATGTGTTTTACCTCTAGATAAGGTACTGAGTCATCCACTGCCTGGAGGAGAGCACTTAAATCATCAATAAATAGCCATTTTGCCCTGTAGGAGAGCCAAGTTCACTTCTCAAAGCTCCATATGCCATCCCTTGGTTGAACAAATGTTGGCAGAGCAGAAGTGGCCCTGAGAGTGAAGCGGGGAACAGATTGGTTGCATGTCAGGGTGCTCAGTGAATGATGCTGACAGGTTCCAGAGGGCTTCCTCTGCAGCAGGACAGATTTGTTGTGATTTATGATTTTTCTGTAAGTTTAGGTCTTGTTCAGAGAAGCATTCAGAAGGTATGGGAATGTAGGTCCTCTGGACTCCATCTAGTTCACTGCTTGCTAGGTGGATAGGCAGTGAAAATGCTAGCACATTGGGCCATTCAGATGACCCCAGGACTGTGCGTTCTATTACTCCTGTAACTGAACTTAACATTTTTCCCTTCCCTTCCCGAAGGTGTTTACTTTCCCTGTGTGGGAACAATGGCACAACTGGGACAGACATATTGTTCTGGAAGGTGTAAGTAGGCCTTCTGGGTTTCCTGAAGTTAATTGGTAGAAAGCACATCTAAAGTAGATGTAAAAAGGGATTGATCCTGAGAGAGCAGTCCTGCCTTTGTGCCTTGGGTCTCCTGTTCAGTCTTTGCTTGCTTTTATATTTTGTTTGCTGTGTAAAGGCCAGCCATAGTTCCAATGTGTGGCTAAATGTTACCTGTGAGAGGAACTCTATAATTTTTTTATGTGTGTCTGACAGTTCTTGGTCTCTGGATAGAAAAACGCTCTATGGGCAAGATCATATGAAGGTATTTGCTTGCTTGCTTCTCATGGAAATCAGTGGAGCTAAGGTGCCTATATAAATATATGTCTTATGTGAAATTTAAACTGAGAAAGAAACAAGGGGAGCCTGGAATACCAACAAGTGAGTAGGAAAAGGGATGTGTGATGAGTGGAAAAGTGTCTTTGTTCTTAAGGCTTTAGGCTGATCTCTTTTATATTTTAGATATTTTTGGTTCTGCTGCAGATGTTTTGGGTTGCGCTGCCCAAGTTACTTACAGGATAAATAGGATTTATCTACTTATTACTTTTTTTTTAATCTTCTGTTTATCTGCTTAGTCAGATTTATCGACTGTTTATCTGCTTAAACATCTCTGAGAACTTTACTTATTCTGTTGCTCTAGTAAAATAAGGTAATAATGCTTCCTGACCTATGGTCTTGTCTGTTCAGGCAACAATCGGTTTTGATTGGGATTACTTTCTGTGCTGCTGTGTGTTCCAGACATTATTGGTCTCCCAGTAAGATTACATACCACCATAAAAACATAGCAAAGTGTTAACAATACAAGCGCCATCTTTTCGTTTATCCACTGTTCAACTCTTATAAGTAACTACAAACATCTTATTTAATTACTTTTTTCTTATTTTTTATTCTTCAGTTGCTTTTCTAATTATTTATTATTTGTTGTTCCTGCCTACGTGAAGAACTTGTGGTGTTTTCTTAACATTTACTAATAGGTGATTAATCTTTTTTATTTATGTCATTATTTCAAATATTGGTTATTACAGGTAATCCCTTCTGTACTTCAAAAATAGCCACTATACAAAAAAATCAGTGTAACGTGTAAAATGGCCTAAAAATTGGACAACTGTTAAATTCAAAAACTAATCTGAACTTTGATCAGGCAGGAAAAGACATAAAACCTGTTTTGAAAGCCAAAGCTAGAGAAATTCAAATTAGTAAAAAGGTGCCCATTTTCACTGTGAGAGTAAATACTATTGTGACAAGTTATGTAGTACTGTGAAACATTTTCCTGTTCTTGACTCTTCCTAAAATAGATGCTATTGTGCAAAGAGTAGCAATAGGAGTTTTGCCTAAATTACTGTTTGACCTCTATTAATGCAGGAATTCAGATTATATTGTTGTAATAGTCCTTTTGGCTTTGGAACCTGTGAGTTTTTGAATCTGTTAAATGGTTCTTTTTTTTCTTTTTTTTTTTTTCAATTGAGCTTTGGCCTAATTCCTGAACCTACATCTGTAGCTGTGGCTGTTGAGTTCTACCATCGTGTTTTCTTACAGCCTTTGATTCCCTGACTTTAAATCAAAAGCATCCTCCTTCTGGTACAGTGATTGGTACTAAGTATAACATTTTACCAGTGGGACTGGAAGGCTGGTTGTCTTGAAATTGGATTGCAAAGTGGAAAATAGGTAAATCACCAAATCATATCTGCAAAGATACATCTGCTTGAAATAGAAAACTTGTGCAAAGGAAAAATGCACAGTAATTGTGGTTCTGAGGGGGGGAGAGAAGACACAAAAGGGATGCCTTAAAGATAGCTACTCTGGCAAGTATGTATCTGTTGCTTGGTGTAACTACTGAGAATTAGAATCACGTGTCACACAAACAAAATTTTTTAGATTTCTCTGCTCTGCCTGAAGGGGCAAAGGGATAAGAACTGGTATAAGTAGAGAAATAGTGTTATACAAGCACTTAACATCTTTGCTTGTCAGTGTGGGAAATAAGCTATTAATAAAGTCAAATATGTCTATCCACATCTTACAACATTCTTCTGAAAATGATTCACTTCCAGATCATCAGATCTTGAAGTCTTTTACAAAGGAAAGTGGTATCACTAAATCCTGATTTGCAATGGTCTAATGAAGGTAAAGATATTACGAATAATCACTGTGGTAGAATTTTCTTTTTTGCCCTCATTTAAAACTGTGCAGTACTGCTGAGTGCACAGAAGGGCTGGGGGCAACCAGCTGTGGAACTGACATATTCCTGCTCCAGCAGTGGAGAGAGAGTGTTTTATGACCTGCACCTTATTCAATATACAGGGCAGGATGTTAACAGTATCGGTCTCCTTCCTCACTTTTCCTTGTAAGCATTTGCATTATCTTCTCTCCTTTTTTTATTCTAGCACAAGTAAAGATAACATTAATCAGAAGTTTCTAGGATGATAATGTAGAATGGAAATGCCTGCTTCACATTCTTAGTATTGTGTAACATTGACATCCAAAATGGTAATTTCTTTTTTTTCCTCTATTATTTCTCACAGGGTGCAGCTCTAATTCGAATGTTGGCTAACTTTATGGGTCACTCTGTGTTTCAAATGGGCTTACAAGTAAGTAAAGGCGTTTCTGTCTCTGTGTAGGTGTGCATTTCTAGAATTTTCTCTCACTCTCTCTTTTGTTCTTAAACTGTATTTGCATCTATTTGGGAAATGTTTCTTTACTTCAGTACCATTGGAGGCACCAACATGTCCCTGAAGCTGAATTTGATGGAAGATGCCGAGCGCTGTAACACAGAAGGCAGTGCCCCCAGTTCCGCCTGTATTTCTTGGTTCATCAAGTGATTGCACTTTAACTGGCCCACAGTTTTGTGTCCGTTTGTGTAGATTGCCATGTAAAAGCTGTTTTATCCATGTGGCGACTGGGTGAAAGCATAGCTGAGGAAAGAGCTACTTGTGTTCAAATACACTTGTGTGCTGGTATAACAAATAATAACACGTGATGTCAAGACAGTTGGAAAATACACAACTGTAAAACTAGTAGTGCTTTTCAGATAAATAGTTTGCCTTCCCTTCCCCCCTAGCAAAATCCTTGAGCTTTATTTTTACCTTTGATAAGCATGGAGTGCTCTCTGCCTTAACAATGTTTGGAAAACTCACTCTGCCTTTTAAAGAAATTTAAAGAGGTAACATTTCTGTGCAGAGAGAAAGAAATTCAACATGGTGATTACCAAGGATGAACTCTTTTCAGCAATAATTCAGCACAAATGAGTGTTTCGTAAACTATTTAAAAACAAACAAGCAAAAGCATAAAAAACAATGCGACTCCCTCTATTCTATTGAAATCTGCTTGAGTAAATCATGTTACAGGCAGCTGTGATTGATGAATTATGTATGATGCAGCCTGCTACTTAGAAGTGTCCTTTAAAGTAAATTGATGTTCACCTGAAATACAATTATGGTAAGATGGAAAGAGCAATCAATCTTATCTGTTCTTAGTAAGCTTTTCATTTTGAAATTTAAATAAACTACGTCTGGGATCAGGTCATTTTTTAACAGAATAATTCTACCTCTAACCAGAATGAATTAGAAGATAAAATATAAAACAAAAGTTAAATAAAGGCACTGGTTATGTCAGAGAGGTGTGTTCCATGCAATAGGCCAATGAAAGAAAACCTGCTGGGGAAATACAGCTTGTTGTAGAGTTTATAGGACATTCAGGATTTGCAGGAGATTTCAGGATTTGCAGGAGATTTCAGTATTCACAGGACCCAGTCGGCTCATTTTCTTCGTTGTAACAGCAGGTCAGATCAGTTAGTTAATCTTCTTATCCAGATAAGAAATCTTGAAATCAAGAGTTTCCTTCCTAAAATCTTGTTTATATCAGGGGTAAAACCCTCATGTCATTTAAGCCAGTAAGACTTCTGTCCTTAGTCCAGCAATCTCCATATTCTAGCCGGAACCTTTTGCCTTCACAGATCCATTCATAAAGAAATTCAATAGCACTTTTTTTGCAAAAAAAAAAAAAAAAAAAAAAAAAAATTTCATTTCCCAGATGCAACAAGGGCAATTGCTGACTGGCTTCTCCAGCTTTGGTTACATGAGCCAGTCTGGCAGCCCAGCTCAGCTGCCCAAGTCTTTTTTCCTTTTTTTTTTTTATTTAAAAAACATTTTTTTTTAAAAAAAAAAAAAAAAAAAAAAAAAGTATTTCACTTAGGATTTCAAAAAAGGAAAGTTTTAATACATATGTCTCAAACCTCCTTTTACTATTCTACGTTTCTCAGAGAAATAACAGTGTGAAAGTTGTCCTGAAATAAATTTAGAAAAAAGTTCAGATCAAAGAATAGCGCTACGCAGGGATTAAATAATCATAATTACCATAAAGTTGTAATGGAGCTTTGTTTTTTGATGTGAGTGGTTTCCTATTATTTCTGCTTTTCACCAGTTCAGCTCTAAATAGAAACTCTTCTGTTTGCTAATGAAAGTCTATGAAAAATCTAACTGTGAAAATCTGACTAGTGAAAGTCTTGGCATCAGTTCAGTAGGAAGGTAATGTTCCATTGTTTTATAAAAACTATTTGAAATCCAGGTAGAGATTTTTCATGTGTATGTCTCCCAAGTCAAACAAAATAAAACATGAAGTTGCTAAGCTTGTTCATAAGCTACAAGGTATACAATTGGAAATGTCTGTCAGTCATTTAATTTGTGTTTTGTAGAGCTAACTAAATAGTGTTCCTGCATTGTAGATTTGGGAGGCTGGCTTTGCTAATGATAAGGGGAACTGGAGGACTAATTTACCCTTTCTATCATACATTCATTTAGGCTTTTTAGCTCTTTAGCCACGGTACCATTACTTGGGATTTAGCATTGTATTCCTTTGAATCCAGTTTTATCATTGAGTTCTAACATCCAGCTAAATGGCCTTTCTCAAGGATAGCTGCAAAATCAATTTTTTATTACTACTATTTATAAATCTCTTCAAATAACGAAGACTCTGAAAGTGCACTTGATGGTTCATTCCTCCTGGCTCATTCTAATGGCTTGCTCAGTAACTGAGTTCTGAAGGACCTTCGCTTTATCTTATTTCCTTTATTCTTCATTAGCCTCCAGTACGTGGAGCACATCAGTGTTAGTAACATTAATGTTATTTCGGTTGGTTTTAGTGTATTAGGTATGTTCTTGGCGTTTCACAGATGATAAAAAAGAGTATTCCTGTAGTCATCTTATGCTGACATAAACCTTAATGAGTACCCTTTTATTTGTGTTTGTGTTGAGTGTTTGTGGTTTCATCAAAAACAAGATATGATTCATCATCTAATTAAGAGCTACAGAATTAAAGCTTTTATATAAGAGAAGCTACAACAAATATGCTAACCTTTGGATTAAGGAGAGGAAAAGATAAGATATAGAGCAAGAAGAAAATGGGATAGCTACCCTTTTTGTTCCTTACCACTTCTTTCTTAATCTAATTACATGCTGTCATCTGGCAGGTGGACTTTTTGGAGAGCAGATAAAGATAGCCCAGGGGAGAAAAATCCCTTTTATGTCAAAGAAAACAATCAATTGTGTTAAAAAGGAGAAGAAAGAAGTTGATGATGGAGAGTGGGGCTCTTTGTTGGATATTCTTTAACTATGAATATGAGCTGAAGCAAATGTGCAAAGGTGAACATGATCTCTAACAGTTCAGCAAACTGTTCTGTTGAGGAGTCTGCAAGGAGGTAAAATTGTAGTGAAGATGCTCGGTTTTACAACCTAGATGGCTTTGTAGAGATTTATATCTGTCAAAAGTAACTGGCCTATTCCTATCAGTAAATATACCGTGAAAGTCCATTGGATTATAGTGTGGAAGTTCCACAATGAAACTGCAGCCAAGAGACTACCTAGGTAGGTAGGTATGATTTTCTGGAAGCCTTTCAAAGACATATGGTGTTTTGAACCATGTGACATTTTCAAAGAAAAGATTTAGTAACAGAGACAGAACTTTCTCACTGTTTTCACATAGCACTCCATAGAAAAAAAACAAAAGAGAACATATTTATATTGGCTGTAATGAATAATTGAATAATGACAATAATAGCCACAGCTGGTAATACTTTCCTATGAGAAAGTCACAGCTATTATTTTTGTAGAAAATGTCTAATAAACCCTGCCTTCTCACAGTAGGTGATTTCTTTCTTTTTAAAAATCCTGACATCTTTCATGATGTGCAAAGCTTCTTATGCTCCAGGGAAATTCAAGAGGTGCATGTCACTGAATGCCAGTACTCTTCTTACAAAGTGGTGTTGCTTTTCAGTCAAAAAGCCATTAATCAGCTAGGGCAGTGATTAGAGTATGAAGAGGCTTGGTCAGCACCGCTTGCTCTGATTATGTTTCTGAACTGCATAGATTGGTAGAGGAAGAAGCCATAAGTTGGCCTTATCATTCAGTCATCACTCAGGGCTGTAATATGCAATATAATATTAGATTTGTGTGAGATTTTCATCTGTAGGCTGTTGTTCCTAGTCTGTGTGCTTGAAATAGATGGTTGCTTACATGGCTGGTGTCACTGTATTACATTGGCTGGAAGGTTTTACAGCTTTATGGCAAGGCATATTTTTTTTCATATTAAATATAGAGAGAAAGCCCAGTGATTTGAAGGTCTGGTACTTAGATGTGTGTAAAGAGGCACCTCCAGCTCTGTAATGAGACATTTCTGCACTGGTTTATTTAGATTTTGCTTATATTCGGTTGATAATTTTTGAGCCTCATCTCTATTACAGTACGTTTGTCAACACTGCATTTCATTTGCCATGTGGCAGCTCATTGATCACATAGATCTGTATCCTTTTGAACTTCACTTGCTGCTATGTATGTGTTCATCACTCACCCTGATTTAGTGCATCATCAGCAGTTTGAATTAGTTACTGTAGGAATCTCTGCTTCTGAGATAAATTAACTGCTTTTGTACTTTAGGCTTCACATTGTACATGTGGAAGAAGAATTTCCATACAGTTGCCTTGGATATACGCTGTCTTTTTTGGTGCTGTTGAGTGGCCACTGTATTGTAACAAATTGGTCAACCTTTCAGAGGAACTGTCTGGGGAAATGTGACGTGCAGGCTGTTAAATACAGCAAGGTTCAGATTTCAATCACTTCTTACTGTCATAAAGCTGGCTAGTTAGACTTTCTTTCATCCACACTACTTAATATTTCCTGCTTTTTAGACATCTCTGTGTGTGCCTGTGTTCTGTTTCAATTATGGCAGTCCATGTGAAACCCTATCAGAAACTTTCTAGGTGTAAAATAACGCTCTAATGTGCTGTTTTCCATATTGTTTGCCACTTCTGTCCAAGAATCTAGAAGAACAAGAAATATATTAGTCTATTTTCACAGTATTATTTTATAACCTATTTTTACACAGTATATTAAACGGGTTTCAGTCTATCATACCTACTTTTTATATCTTTATTCCCAATTCACAACAGTTAGCTGTACGCTGTTTAAACTGAAACATCACTAGAGACTTAGTAGAATTTTCTGTAAAAACAAAAAAAAAAGTCAGGCACCTTAGGATCAGGCTCAGTGAAGCAGTGAGCTGCGATGTTGTCCCCAGATCACATGGAAGTCCCTGGAGT